GGCCTGGGGTACAGAGGCTAGGACTCAACCCAGCCCAGGGCCAGCCCTTCCCTTGCCACCCTGCCCAGAGTGGCCCTGGCCTCTGCAGTGGGCCTCTGGGTATCTCATCTACTGGTACCCAAAAGTGGTATTTGTCACAGGGAGTGGGTGTTACCCCAAGCGACAGAGCGGGAGACCAAGGGAGACCTTGAGTGTGAACACAGCCAGTCTAGGTGAGTATGTGAATGTCTATGTGGCCCAGGCTGGGCATGAACGTGAGTGTGAGCTCTGGGCAGTCATGTAAGGGGATGCGGGACACCACTCAGCCTGGGTGTGCACAATGTGGTCTGTGTATGTATAACCAGTGTGAGTGTGCACACAGCCCGGCTTGCATGGGCCTGGGGCCTGGCATGTGGTGGGCGCCTATGTTGTTGAGTGAATAAATGTGAATGTAGGCACAGCTCAGGTGCAGACAGAACTCCAGAAACAGTTGCATAGCCAGCTGAAACTGTCCTCACCAGAGGACCGCATCAGCTGGGGTAGGGCTGGGTGGACACTGGCTTGGCTGTACCCCCAAGCCCCCACACACCCCGTGCAGCCCTGTTGGAGTGTGGTTGGGGCTGGGGCCATGACTCCACCTTATCTCTCTCCACTGTCTCCTGGGTTCTGCAGGCTGGAACTGCAGCCCCCTTGACCCCTTCTGACCTCAGTGCTGCCTGAAATTGTGAGGGACGGCAGAGAGAACATCCTGGAAAATGACCCTGGCCTGGAGATGGGGGCAGCTCTTGCCCTTGGGAAAGTCCCGGGGTGAGGGGGGCAGGAGTCCAGCCTCTTCTCTGGTCTGGCTGAGCAGACACAGGCTTCCCTTCTAGAGACAAAGATGATTTCAGTCTGTGAGAGGCAGAGTCAGGAGCTGGCTTGGATTTTTCCAAGCTGGGGAAGGTGAACCTCTCTGGCAGGTGTGATGATAGGATCCCTGGGAGGCCGTGCATGCAGGAGCCTGAGACTCACTGAATCATGTGGGCCAGGAGCTGGGCTCCTGTCCTCCTGGGCCCTAGCCTGCCACATGGGCCAGACTGTGGGGGCTCCTTAGCCATGGTCCCCTTAACTGATGGCTTGCTCAGCCTCTGGTGCCTACCCCTTCTGTAACATGGTCTCCAGAGCCAGGTGTCCTTTCCCCGAGGCATCCTGGTGGCCCTGGGGGAATGGAGGTGGCACTGGCAGTTGACATGAGTCCTCAGTGTCTTATTTGCCCCAGCCCAGCTGGGTTCTGCAGGCAGGTGTGCAGGGAGGAAAGGCAGCTGCTGCCTGCCCTGCCTCCTGATTCTCTCCCTCCCTGTCCCCTTCCTCAGCCTCCGTTTTCATTCCCCTAGCCTGCTGCCTCTCCCTCTCCGGGTGCCCATGGAAGCGGGAGTGTACACCCCTCATCTGGCCACGTGGCCTATGGCGTTCCAGATTCTAGATGCTTTCTGGGCTGATGAGGGAACCCGAGCTCTTTCCTTCACGAGTACCACTGCCCTGGATGGCCAGGCACAGACTGCTCAAGCCCCTGCAAAAATCATCATGTGGCTGGTGGCAGAGTCTTCTTCGATCTGCTCTGGGCTGTGCATTACTTCATCCTCCTGGCACTTTCGAGGAGTGCCTTCCTGCCTGGGATGATTTCATCTTGGAGTGGAGTCAATGCCGTGCTGGGCTCCACCATTTTGGAGCCTGAGGCAAAAGGAAAAATGAGCAATACTGATCCTATCTTTATTTAAAAATTGGATATTTCACCCGTCCATCATGGACATTTTACATTAGTTTTGACTTTTAAAAATATTGCATTAAAATATGATTTGTCTTGCCTGCATTGACGTCCTTGTCTGGACGTCCCTTGAATTTTGCACCTGAGGTGAATGTAAAAAGAAAAGATTCCTTGGTGTGGGCCTGGAATGTCTTATGATTGGAAATTGACTGGAATTCTTCCCTTCCGAGGGGCTTGCGGAGTCTGATGGGTGTGGGTGTGTGGGAGGAGGCGGGGGAAAGAGGTAGACTTAGCAGTCTCAGAGCTTCTGCTAATGTCTCCGTGGAGCTGAGGGGCAGGGCCTGGGGGAGAGGGCCCAGCCCACGCTTTAGCGCAGCAGGAGAGTGGACTTTGAAGGTGGACAGAGATGCAGGAAGCAGAGTTGGGATGGAGGAAGAAAAAAGTCATCTGGGAAACAAAGTGAAAAGAATCCATTTCTCTGGAGGCAGCCTTGAGGGGATGGGACTGAAAAATGGGAAGCCGGGAGGCTTTGAAAGGCTGCAGATGGCAGAGCCAAGGGGGCTGCAGAACCCTCCGTCAGCCCGACCTTCAGCGGGGTCTGCTCCACGCAGAGCTGCCTTGTGTGAGTGGTCCTTTGGTGGGTGAGTGGAGGAAAGCGGTGGATTCCGTGGGGAACTGGGGCCTCGGATCTGCCCACTGAACTCTTCAGTGGGAGCCAGCGTTCAGAGGCAAAGACATGTAGGGAAAGTTTAAGCACAGGATTTGGGCCAGTTCGCCTAAGATTTCAAAGGGCAAGTGTCTGTGCGTGTGCATCTGTCTCTTCTCAGTTTGAGGATTCCCAGGACCCTGGCTTGCCTTCCACTTTGAGAACTTTGAACATTTCCTTCCTTATTAGCTCTCTCTCCAGAGGGGCGATGGGAGTGAGCGGGGGAGCCAAGGTTGTGGTGAGGGGCCAGGGCAGCTGGCCTGGGGCCTGGATAGCACGTGCTGCTCTGGAGCAGCTGTTCCTGCCTCCTTGGGATCAGGGGCGGCTGGGCCCAGCCTGCATCCTCAGCTCTGAACCCTGCCTGGGCTGCACACAGACACATTCCTAGGGCCAGGGCAGGTGGGTATGAAGGAGCTTCAAGGATGCCTGACCTCTGCAGTCGACTCCCCTCTTCTGGGGCTGTCACTCCTTCCTCCCTCCTCCGTCTTGGAACGGGGTGGAGTCTCTCCTTGGAGAGGGTCTGGGGGATTGGGAGCCGCACTGCTCCCTGCACACCAGATAAATAGAGGTCACCTGTGTTGATCCTGCAAAGGCTGAAGGTGGGTTAATGACGGAGAATGGTGGGGGCCTGACTCCCGTTTCTTCTGGCTGGGGTCCGAGTGAGCAACCCTACCCTTCCTTACCCTGAAGACTACCCTGTCCCTCCATTTGGGGGCTCCCTTCTGGCTCCATCAAGGTAGAAGGAGGACCCCCTGCCTCCCTCCACCCTGTAACCACCCTGCTTGTTGGGATTCAGTCACAAGGGCTTGCCTCCTGCAGGATGCAAGTTTAGGCACATGTTCCATCTCTGGTCCATGAACCTCCCATCTTTTGTTTATTGTACTGTTTCCCAGGTTATAAACTCACTTATGCTAAATTGTAAGAAACATGGAAAATTGGGAAAGCATAACGTAGAGCATCTCAGTGGCTTCAACCCAGCCCTCTGAGATCCGCACCACTGCCCATTAGGAATACCCCTCTGCGTTTGAGTTCCCCGGGTCATGGGTAGCCTTTTTGTGACAGCATTTTCCTGCCCCTTGTCACACTTGATCTTCTTGCACAGCCTTGTGAACTGCCATCAGCAGTCGCCTTCTTCTCCTTTTCACAGCTGGGAAGCCGAGACTGGTCGCGATGTGTACCCTGCATCATCCCAGGACGTGGCTGGGACCTCAGGCTTCCTGAGCAAGCTGTCCCACGGGCTTCTCACACACTGGCTGCCTGAGCTGGGGGCAGCCAGCCCCTCTGCCGGGAGCCCGCTCCTCAGTTGGCTGCTTGCCTGTGCGCTGGGCACCTTTCCAGGCCCCTGCCAGCGTGCAGTCTTCCTTGGGGCTGCTGTGGAGCCCTGGCCCATCCACCTCCTTGGAGGCAGCACAGAGCACGCGCAAATGTTCACGCCTGGGGCGGGGGGAGCAGGCAGATTTCAACGGCGTGCCTCCTGAAAACCACATCAAATGGTGCAGCTAGGGATTAGTAAATAAATTTGGGAGACAAGTCAATTACCGTCCCCCCCGTGCCCCTGTCCCTGGGGGCAAACAGCAGCATGTGGTCCCCAGCCTGAGCATGCCTTCCCGGGGGCAGCCCCAGTGAGCGCTGCAGCTGGCTTCTGTCAGATTAGCCGGGCGAGATGTGACAGGCCTCTGTCCTCTGGGGAAATGGCTCCATTCCTGGGAGGTGGTGAGGACATTCCCAGGTTGCTCTGTTCCTACCCTCTGCCTGCACCCCTCCCTGCCTCACTCCCCTCGTAGTGTCCAAACCACTGCCCCCTTACCACTCCACCCCAAGGCTCCTGCTCAGCCAGTCACAGGCCCAAAGTGCCACCATTACAGCTGTCAGGTGAAGCTGCCATGCCTTTGAATGTGGTAGATGCATACACTGTGGAGGGCTACCTTTGTTGGTCTCTTCCAGATGCATTAGCACTATTATTATGAATTTAAAAATCAGACTACTTGTTGCCTTAGAAAACATTTATCCACTCAGCAAATACTTAAAAATGCCTGCTTTGTGGCAGAGTTTTTGCTCGGTCGTGGAGATACAGAGAAAAGAGACACCCTCTTGCTCTCTAGCAGCTTATAGTTATGTGGGAAAGTCAGACACTAAACAGACAGTTGCTATGAGGGGCACTTGGGGAGGAAAAGTGAGGGTACCTAGTTGAGCCTAGAGGGCTCCCCAGGTGGGTTCCTAAATCGATGATGCTGCATCCTGAGGGGAGAGTTGTCATGGGGGGCAGAGGCTGGGGAGTGTGTTCCAGACGGAGGGAATGGCATCGTCAACTCTCAGAGGCAGGGGAGGGCTGCGAGCTGGATCACAGGGTGTGAAGGGAGTGGGGGTGAGAGAAGGTGCTGGAGGGGCCACCAAGGCTGGATCACGTGTGGCCGTGAGATATCTATCATCTGTCATCTGTCTATCTATTAACAGAGTTCAATGTGGGGGGCATGCAAACTTTCTTTAAGTCTTTTTAAAGTGGCTTATGGATGTTTTTCAACCTTCCGTGTGTGTTAAGTGGACGGCATGTTGTTTTTTTTTCCTATTTAGAAACAACACAACTCCATAGAACCCATCAGACTACAAAGAGAAAGCAGCAGTCTTCAAAATATCAGAGCAGCATCACAGAAAAATGAGTCCGCCCTTGATACTGACTGTCTCCGAGTTTTCTGTGGTTGCACCATGTAGGCATGTTCTTTAGATCAATGATTTTCAAATTTGAGTATGCATGAAGATCACTTGGGAAATTTATTTGAAATGTGGGTGTTTGTAGTCTATCCTGGAGATTCAGATTCAATGGGACCCAGCAATGTGCATTTTAAAGAAGCTCGCATGGTAAATTGGAGGCTATCAGTAGAACACGCTTTGAGAATCACTTTCCTAGAGCGTATTTAATCTTGGGGAATTTGCTTGCAATTCAAGATCCTGCCACCAGATGGCAGTGGTGCTTTGTGATGGATCGAAGCAAAAACCACTTTTCTACTGGGGATGGTCGCTGGAGACAGTTCTTTGCTGCAAGAATGTGTAGAAAATAGTTAGTTATTTTAGATAATTTCTAAAATTATTGGTCATGAAATAATTTCAGAGCTTAATTTTAAAGCTAAATTTTCCTTTCAAACATTAAAGCTGAACTTTCCAATAGGGTGGCCACTGGCCACATGTGGTTTTTGAGCACCTGAAATGTGGTTGGTCTGAATTGAGATGTGCCGAAGTGTGATAAACACACTGAATGCAAAGGCAAAAAAAAAAAAAAAGAAAAAAAGAATATGAAATATCTTATTAATAATTTTTATCATGATTGCATGTTGAAATTATAATATTTTGAGTTAAATAAGATCTTATTATTAAAATCAATTTCACCTGTTGCTTTCTCCTTTTTGAAAAAAGTGAAGACTGGAAAACGTAAAATTACATATGGGGCACGGATTCTGTTTCTACTGGACAGCACTTCATTAGAAATCATCCAAATTCATTTCTTCATTTTGAAAGTGAGGGAATTGAGGCCTAAAGTTGAATGGAAAAGTCTAGACTTGAAGTCAAAAGACCTCCATTTCAGTGCCAGTCCAAACATTCATCGCCTGCCTTTGGGCAAGTCGTGTACCTTCACTGAGCGTCCATTTCATCATCTGTAAAAAAGGCATAATTACAGCAGCTCACTTACTTAAAAGACTTATTTAGAAGACCAAGTGAGATAACGTGGCTGAAGGAGCTTATGGAAACTCTCCAGCATCACAGAGATCAAATTACTATTGTTGTGGTTACTGATAACCACTGGAACCCGGGTCAGATAGACTCCCCAATTCATTTAAGTGATCCCTGGTGAAGGTCACCAGATGGGGCGCTGCCAGACTCTCAGGAGGTTACAACTGAGTGAAGGAGTTACTAGAAACGTTTGTGAAATGTGAAATGACAACCCCTGGTTAGAATAGGGATTCAAGGAAGGAATGGGAAACTTGTCACAGGCTTACGTGGCCAATAGCCAGAGCAATTTCTTTTCTTTTTTAGGTATATTTATTGAGCTGGCACAGCAGGATTGGAAGGTTGGAGCAGGAGAAGAGAGAGCAGCAAAAACAGCAATAAAATGCTATCTCTATTTGCAGAGGGGTTTATCATGGGGGGGGGGGGAGGGGAGCCAGACACAAGTGAGACAGGAGAGAGGGAAGACCAAGTGTGGAGCCGCCAGCCTCAGGATTTCTAATGGAACCTTTGGTATTAGGAATGAGTGACGGGGCTGCCAATTCCTGACCAGCTCTCCCCTCTCCCCTTCTTCCTTACTACATAGAATCTTGACTTTCTTGGGGGTTGGCAATTGGCCCAGCTAAAATGCTACATTTCCCAGCCCCATCTGAAGCTAGGGGCAGCCACATGATGCAGTTCTGGACAATGAGGTATATGCAGAAGTTAGATTGGGCTTCCATGAAAACTCCTTGAAAGGGTGGGGACATTCAGCCAGTGTGTACACAAAAGCCCTTGGCCCTCCCTCTTGCCTGGACTGTGGGTGTGATGGTGCTGACTCCAGCAACTATTTTGTGACCGTGAATTTAAAGTCAACATCCTATAGTAGCAGAGGAGAAAGCTAGAATGAGCCTGGGACCTGGAGAACGTCATGGGGATGCTAGACTGCCCTGAATTTTTAATGTTTGATCTCCTCATTATGTGAGACAAATGAGCTCCTATTTTGTTTAAGCCACTGTTATTTGGTTTTTCTGTTCTATGCAGCCAACCTGGTTCCTGAATGACACTGAGCACATTAGTGTATATGTCAAGGCTCTTGAACTCCATGTATCCGTGGCAAGGAGAATATTTGAGGATTTTATTGGGGTCTGGGGCCAGAAGGTCACATGAGATGGACAGGGCCACTCTTAAGCCCTCTCCCAGTAGGCTGGGTAGAGTGAAGCGCCCTTCCCCTCCTCAGGAGAACGCAGATAGTAGTAGCTCTGAGAATCTTGAAAAAGGAAAAACAGGAACACCACAGGAGCGACCCTGAAGAGAAGAGAATACTTAGGTGCTAACTGGTGCCCCCACCCTGCTTCGCATCTTCCCTGCAGATGGGTTTAGGTGACGTGAGGGGGAAACCAACTGGCAAAATATATTGAATTTGAACTGGTTTCTTTTTTTTTAAATTGTGGTAAAAACACATAGCAAAATTTACCATCTTAACTATTTGAACGGATTCCTTTTTAAAATCACCCTTTCATTCACGTTTTCTTGCAGCTGCCGTCTCAGAGGATGAGCCATCAGACATTGCCACAGGGAAGGGGTGGGAAGTGGTCATCCTCGGGACTCCAAGCTGACTTTTTTGACCTCGTTATGGAGATGATGGTATGGAAGTCCAGGCTTTGCGGAAATAGGGGGATTGTTGACAGAGATCCTCCGGTAGCATATGGAAGTCCAGGCTTGGCTGATGAGATCACAAAGTTTATCACTCCCCAGGTGGCAAGGGCTCAGGTAATGGCAAACAGGAAGTGCAGAGCCACTCCTTCCCCACGAGGGACCATGGAGGAAGCAGGGTAAGGGTGGCAGGGGGTGAGAGGCGTGTGCTCGGATTCCTTCTCTCCGGGCCCACGTGCTGGTCTGGCTGAGGGGATGCTGAGGGTGGAGGGTTCTTGCTCCACCTCCTGGGGGGTGAGCGGTCACCTTGAAGTCTACTCCAGCACCAGCCTATGGGTGGCCACATCAGAAGAAATGTGGAGCCTGAAGAAGGTGTTAGGTCAGTTTCTCCAGCTGCCCTGGAGTCTCTGCTGTGTGCATGGGCTCCAGGAGTGTCCACATGAGCCCAAGGGAGGTGGGAAATTAGCCAACGGTGTGACTGGGTAGTTTATCTGAGGGGCTGTGGGGTTTACAGGGGTAAATTGCCCTATTGCTGAGGGTCACAGGCTAGACCACCCAAGCTGGGCAACAGACAAGACTCACAGTTGGACCTGAGCGGGATCGCAGGTAAAGCGAGGACTCTGCCCAAAACAAGGGGAGCAGAGCAGGATTCTCTGGCTACAGGCTTGAGGCAAGCGGAGAAGAGACATTACTGTGGAGGACTCGGAGGAGGACAAGGCCTATGTCCGTCAGCTTTTGCTAGTTAAGGCCGCAGGAACAAACCGCCCCTCATCTCTGCGTCTTAAAACATAGCAGTTTATCCCGCAGGTGTGTTACATGTTGGTGGCTGTGGTCCTCTGGGCTCTGCCCCACATGTCTTCTCAGTCTGGGCCCCTGACTGAGAGAGCAGCCCCAGTGTGGGTCATGCCTTTCTCAGGGAAGGGAAAAGAATGAGAGAGCTGGCAGGAACCAACGCTGGCTCTGAACGCACCTGCTCCCACCTGCCGCTGCCCTAGGCAAGTCACTGGGTGGCCAAATCAGTGTGGTGGGGAAGGATACTCCTCCAGAGAAGTCACTGCAGGTCCCAGGGCTCTGTGCAGGGACCATCACCCTCTTTCAGGAGTTGGGAGAGAGGAGTTGAGGATAAGAACAGAATCCCCTGTATGTCTAGGCCATTTCTCCTCCAACAGGAGTTCGCAGTAGCCATGTCCCACAGACATCTTGGAGAAGGGTGGCAGGAGGTGAAAGGCAGGATTTACCTGCAGAGGCCGGGTCCTGAAAGGCCAGGTTGGGTCCGTCCTGACTCGGGCTCCGTTTGCAGGGCTGGACTAACTGCAGGATGGAGTGCTTGTGCAGACCAGATCACGGAGGATGGAAGCTGTGGTGTGAGTGACTCTGGCTCCTAGCGACAGCGCTGGAGGGACAGGACAGAGAGCTGCCCTCAGACCTCGGGGCGCCATCCCCCGTGACCTCGCTGCCCCCTCCCTCTCCCCAGCGAGTGCAAACACAGCTGGTCACGGACTTTTGCTGCGGGAGGTGTTTTCCCCGAGCTGATAGGATCAACCTGTTCTTTACCTCAAACCTGTTTTTAAAAGGACTTTCCTGTTTTTTTTTTCTTTCTTTAATTGCAGAATATTTTTATAACATACTTTGAACAGAAGAAACAGAACCTAGCAAAACAGTTATTAAAGAGCTGTAAAATGCTTTCCTCACACTTGCCCTCTTATTTCTTCCTCCTTTGGGTGGGTCGGGCTGTAGGTTGGGGCTGCGGTGGGTGAACCTAAGTGACCGAGCTACGAATTAGTGACAAGGTGCCCCACGTCCACCCAGAGCTCGGACACCCCCTGCCCAACCCTTCAGGCAAGTTCTTGCTCAGCCAATTTTGTTAGTTTATAAGCTGCAGGGCACTCAGTTCTCAGGTCCTGGGGCCACTGGGCCGGGCTGATTTCACGGCAGGTGCAGGTGGCCACAGTTGGTGGCCATGAGGGGCCTCGGAGGCCTCGTTCCCCATTCCTGTAGCCCCACCATACCATCCTCAGCTCCCTTCCGCGGTGCACACTGTTCCACCAGTGGGACCCCATGCCTTTGGGCCTCACACCAATGTCGGGAAGGTCCCATCTGAAGCTGTCCCTTGTGACCACCAGAGCCAGGGCTGCAGGGAGGGACTGGGGACTTTGGAACATGGGGAGAGGTTCTCAGAGGTGGGATGAGGGCACACAGAGGGGCAGTGAGAGGGACCCAGCGGGGAGACCAACTCTGCTTTCGTCTCTCGCTGGCGTTGGCTGCTCCCTACAGTTGCAGCAGAAGAGGGCGCAGCCCAGAGTGGGCACATGGACGAATCAGTCTGGCTTGTGTCCCTGGGCGGATGGAGGAGAGGAATGGGAGCACCTGGGGGACACGCTGGGTCTCCTTCCTCCTACGTGGGCCCTTGTGCAAGGGTGGGATCTGAGTGGTCACATATTGCCCTGCCCCCATAAGGTGTCCTTGTTGGGGGTGGGGTGGTCAAGGAGGAGGGCCCTGGTCCCAGGAACACTTCCTGCCCTGGCTGAGGCCTGGGCATCTCTGTATGGGATGGGTGAGTCAGCGGGTGTTGAGGAGGAAGAGAATTCTTCCCTATTGTGAGTTGGCCCCATTCTCAGAACCCTCAGGGTGCAGAACTGAAAGGAAAGCTCCCTGCACCTGGAGACACCATTTTGACCATCTCTTTTGTGAGATGTCATGTGGTTTTTATTAATTTAGGCGCTGGACACCCTCTGCTGTGGCTTTCCCCTGAGCCCTGGATGGCTGATCAACTCATTTACTCTGAGGAACTCATGACTGATCATGGTTAGTTAGAAACATAGCCCTTCCTGGAGGATCTTCCCTTTGATAAAGAGAAAAGACTCACTAGAGGCTGGATTGTCAGTGGAAGGGAGAGGAGGGGAACAGCCTGATGCCGGGAGCCTTTTTGCTCACTCCCACCGTGAAGGTAATACTAGTCAGCCCCGATATTTGGTAGAATATGCTGGAATTTTCAAAGTCATTTCACATATGGTACCTTATTTGATCCTCCCATCAATTGATAAAGGTAGTCAAGAAAAGGACTGTTATCAACACTTGCAAATGAAGAAACAGAGGCCCAGAGAGATCAGGGATGTGTCCAAGGCCACCCAGCCAGATGGCGGCAGAGCTGGGACAGGATGTTGGTGCGTTTCACTCTAAGCTGGGTCTTTTCCATAATGCTGGCCTGCAGAGACTCTGCCTGGGCACAGGAGTGTGGAAAGGGTGAAGCCCAGGGAGGCGCGTGGAGAGGGTGGATAAGGCAGGAGGTCCGGAATCAGAGGACCTGCCTTAGGAGCCGAACACTGTCTCTTCCTCGGAAGGTAGTTAATGCCTCTGAGCCTCTGCTTGCTCACTAGTAATGCGGGGATAACACCCCTGTCCACTCTCATCCACCAGGATTCCTGTGAGGACCAAAAATGAGAGAATGTGCTTGAAGAATAGTTGCAAACTGCAAAAGGCTGCCCACAGGCTCAATTCCAGGAAGCGAGGGCTGGACTCTCTCTGCACTGTTCACACCCTTCCTTTTGGGGAGGCAGCAGGCTCAGAAATAGCCTTCGCTTCTATCCTCCCCGCTTCCCCTGGGATTCGGGCTGAGTGTTTTCTTCTTGAAAAACAAAAAATCAAAGCAGTTGCAGAAAAACCAAAAGCTCTTTTCTGCTTCCCCTCGGCTGCCCTTCTGCTCTCTGAGGCCAAGAGGAGAGGATGTTGCTGGAGGCCTGGATTTGGCTGGGGCCTTCCAGAGTCCTCACTGCCCTGCAAGGGCCACCAGGAGCATCCTGGCCGGCGCTTGTCATCTGTTCAGAGGCCAATGCTGGTAGTGCTTTGAAATGTGGGGCTCTGATCTCAGCCCAACTCTGTCAGGCTAGGCTATCACTGCCTGAGAGCACCGAGCAACCATCTGGACATGCCAGAGAAACGTACCCTGTCCTCTTCGCCAGAAATATTTATTCATTTCAACTGACACCTTTCTGGCTATTTGCAAAATGGAGTTCAGAATCTTGTAAATCTCTTTTTTCCCCTCTAAAAATCAGCAGATGAGTTTTCAGGGTGTGTTTATCCTTGTCTAAAAACAGGGAAAGACCAGTTTCAGAGAGGAAACAAACCCACAGTGCACATGTTGTGTGGGACAGCCAGGCGACCCCGGATAGGAGCAGGCAGGCCTGGTTCTGGCCCTCTGCTGTGAGGTGGTGGCTGTTGATGTGCCTTCCCACTCCAGACCCAGGGTCTTCACCCAAGATGCTTAGGTTGGCCCACTTGTTCATCTACGTCTCCTCAACCGTGTCTGAGGGAGGTCTTTATCCAGAACTCGGTAATGGCAGCCAAGGAGTTTGTTGGGAAGAACCTAACCTTAGTACAGATGAATGACGTATGTTTTTCTAAACGGTTAGGTACAGCCATAGCCACAGCAATCTCAGACAATAGAAGGTTGTGTCTGGTGTTAACTACCAATTCCTCCTCAACAGGGGATTGAGGAAGGAATGTTCCAGGCCATGTTGTAGCCCAGGTTTCTGGCAGTGTTCAGGTTCTGCCCTGTCTTCTGTTCCTCCTCTTGATCCAAACCATTTTGAGTCCCCCGTGGTTCCATGCCAGCTCTCATTTTCTTCTTAGGGCATACAGCCTAGGAACTCTTAGCTTCTCTGATTTCCCAGGTTTAGATTTAGAATACAGAGTTCAGCAGGCGTATTTTCATAGCTCTATTTCTTTGCTGTTTGCCATACCACAGGCTTGTCTGGAGACTGGAAACAATGGGTGGGTCTCTCAGCCAGGGGACATTCTGCTAAATAAGCCAGCTGTGTCAAGAGCCTTCTTTCTGCCACCACTGTGGTAGGTGCAATTCTACTAGCAGCCTTAGATTTTGACAGGAAGGGCACAACCTCTGAATATCATATCAAAGGGTTTTCCTCTATTTTACAATAAAAAATCTTCTAACTAATTACTGTATGCCATTCACTACCAGCTATCTGTACATATGCCCACATGTGTTGCTGTAACATACTCACCCAAAGGCCAGATATGAGGTGAAATTGAAGGCTACTGAATTCTCTCTTAGCACGTGTCATAAGGGCTGGGTAGAGGGTTACCAGGGAGGATTCAGAAACACTGATCACACAGTTAGAGGGTTTTGATTAAGGGGCTTGGGAATTCACTGGGGGATGGAGAAGTGTTGCTGGCAAACACATCACCTACCTGGTGGGGTAGGGAGAGGAGCCCACTGAGGCAGAACCCAGGATTCATTCCATTTTAATTCATTTGAAAAACATTTACTGAGTGCTTGCTACATACTAGGCACTCTTCGAGGTTTTGGGGATTCAGCAATGAATAAAACAACTGCCCCCATGGAAATGAATTTCTAGTGCTGTGTGCAACTCCATTCATTGGCTGTAGAGTTTAGGCTTCAAGATCCTAACTTCATCACTGTGGTTGGTTGTAAATGGCTCAGGTAGGGTCTTCTCTCCCTGTCCCTTCCTTCTTTCCATTATCTTCTACCCTAACCTGGAGTTATTATCCTGATCTTCAGTGGTCAGACCCAAGACCTTCCTTGGAGAAGACCCCAAGTTTTGGTGGCCACCACCCTAGGGCTCCCAGGTATATGGTGACTGTCTCTTGGGGTTTCCCTTGGCCTATATGAAGGAGATCTTTGGATCTGAGGCACAGAAGCATCCCTGCCTACGTACCTCTCAGATTTCTTCTCATCCCTTTTGGGGAAATTGACTTTATGTTGAAGAGCAAACAACAAAGATAAACTCTTAAAAGCAAGCAGAGAGAAAAGATGCAAAAGACTGACAACTGACTTCTCAAGTGGAACAATGGAAGTCAGGAGACAATGAGATGGTATCTTCAGAGCTCTGAAGGAATAACTAGCAGGCAGAAGTCTGTGGAAGCACAAATGTCCTTCCAAAATAAAGAGGAAATAAAGACACTTTTAGAAGAACAAAATTTTATAAATCTCATCACAAGCTGACCTGTGCCAAAGGAAATACCAGAGTGTTCTTCAGGCAGAAGGAAAATAAGCTTACATGTAATCTAGGAGACACAGGAAGGAATGGAAAGCAATAGAAAAGGTAAATATGTGTGTGAGTGTAAATAAGCATTGACTACATATACAACAACAATGATATCTTGTGGGATTTTAAATGTATAGTGAATTAAAATATCTGACAATAATAGCATATGTTAGAGTAGGGCAGTAGAAAGAGTTAAAGCAGTCCAAGTTCCTTGCATTATCCAAGAAGTGGCAGAAGTATTTATCTGTATCTGACTTTGATAAGTCAAAGTACATGTTGCAACTATTGGGGGGAAAAAAGGCAGAAACACAAAAGTGTATGACTCTCAAAAGAGTGAGTCAAATGGCACGATAAAAATTTTGAATCACTCCAAAAGGAAGTGAGAAAGGATCATAGTACAGGCAGGCCAAGTATAAAGCAAATAAGATGGTAGATTAAAACCCAATATAACAGTAATTACAATAAATATAGAAGGGTTAAACAGTCTACTTAAAATATTGTCAGAGCAAATAGAACAAAACCTAACTACATTCTGCTTACAAGAAACAAGCTTTAAATATAAGTATATAGAAAGACTGGAAGAAAAAATGATAAAAAATACTGTACAAAGAAAGTTGGGGTAGCTATATTTATATCAAATGAAAGAGATTTTAAGGCAAAAAAAAGTTACTAGAGTTAGTGATACTTCATAATGATACAAGGTTCAGTTAACCAGGAAGCTAAAACAATTCTAAAGTTGAATGAATCTAATAATATCACCACAAAGTAAACAAAGGAAAAATTATAGAACTAAAAGGAGAAATACAAAATTCACAATCACATAGGTGGGAGATTTTTTACACACCTCTCTCAGTTACTGAAGGATCAAGCAGAAAAATACCCAGGAAGGATACAGAAGATTTGAACAAGATGATTACCAAATTTGAATTAATTGATATACAGTGAACATAGCTTCCAACAACGTCAAATGCATATTTACAAGTGCATTCTTTGTAAGTGCAGATGGAACATTTACAAAAATTGACCCTATGTGAAGGCCATAAAGCAACTGTCAACAAGTTTCAAAAGATTGAAATGGATATGCTCACTGAGTACACTGGAATTAAGCTTAAAATCAGCAACAAAAAGACAATTAGAAAATGCTCAAATGTTTGGAAATTAAGCAATATTTTTCTAAATAACTGATGGTCAAAGAAGAAATCACAATAGAAATTAGAAAATGTTGAACTGAATGACAACAAAAAGACTACATTGCAAAACACGTAGGATGCAGTTAAAGCCAGACTTAGAAGGAAATTTATAGCCTCAAACACTTATATTAGAAAAGAAAGGCTGAAAAAAAGAGGAGAGAGAGAGAGAGAGATTTTAAGAAATTGGTCCATTGGCCCATGCAATTATGGAGATGGGCAAGTCCAAAATCTGCAAAGTAGACCAGCAGCTGGAGACCCAGGGAAGAGCTGATGTTGCCTCATGACTAGTAATGCCACGCCTTGGCAAGGATGCGAAGCAGCTAGAATTCTTACACATTGCTAGTGGCCGCGTGAGTTGAAAACTATATGAACACCTGCATCTCCTCTGACCCAGCAAGTCCACTCCTGGGTATATACCCCATAGAAATGCACTCATATGACACCAAAAGTCATGCATGACAATGTCCTTAGGAGCTTTATGTGGTAGCCCTAAATCAGAAACAAGCCAAATGTCCATCGTCAGCAAAATGGATAAACCAATGCTAGCATACTCATACAATGATGCTATTCACAATGGGAATTAATATACTATACCCAACAATATGAATGAAACCCACAAACGTAATATTGAGCAAATAGGTTAGACACAAAAGAGTATACACTGCGTGATTCTGTTTAGATAATGTTCAAAACCAGGCAAAATTAATATACAGTGCTAGAGGTCAGGATGGTGGTGACACTTGGGAAGGAGGAAGGGGATATTGATTGCAAAGGGCTTGGAGAGTGTTTGTACTGCTCGCATTTTATTTCTTCATCGAGGCATTGGTCACATGGTACAGCCACTTTGTGAAATCCATTGAGCTTACATAAAAAATTAAAAAGGGAGAAAAAACAGGGGAAAGTGATCTGGAGATAGGAAGTATAGACAGCTCTTTCCAGAAAGTGTTGCTCCCAAGGGAAAAATGAGAAGGGAGTGGTCAAGAGCAATTTTTTTTCTTTTCAATTTTTTTTTGGCATTAAGATATGCTTGTATGCTGATGAGGATAATGCAATAAAGAGGAGAGCATTGATGATGCTGGAGGGAGAGGCAAGAACCACAGGAGTGACATCCATGAGTAGGGAAGGAGTGGGATGTATTGCAGGCATAGAGGGCAGGTTCCAGGGGCAGACAGTCCACCCAGGGGAGCAGACAGGATGGGGAGGGGAAGTGGGGAGCTCACAGGCTCAGTCCTCCTCGAGGTGTCTCTTTTACAGTTGCTCAGGCCTCCTCCTACTCGGGGTACCCACGCCCACACTCTCTCACTCCCAGTCTAGTTCGTGGATTAAATGGATTCTCTGCTTCCTGAAGGGTGGACAGGGATCCGAAGGTAGGAGTTAGTGGCCAGGCCGGTGCCCTTTGGGCAAGGCGCTGGAGGCATTTATAGCCAGTCAGGAGGTGGAGGTCCCAGCCTGAAATGGGCTTTGGGGTGTTTTCTGTGGATTTCTGCCATCAGGAGCTCCTGTCCTGATTGGCTGATTCCGGGTAAATCAAGGGGATGGCCACTGGGTCCTGGGTCTCTGCTCCTCTTCCCTCTACTGTGTTCCTGATCTGCTTTTGGGGACAGTGACCACTCCGCCACTTGCCACTCTCATAGGACCCCAAGGCTGTCCTTGTGAGCAGGGGGAGGGAACCTTGGCTTCAGGAAGGGTAGGAAGCCAGCTTAAAAAAGCACATTCCTTGGCAGGTTAAAAAACATTTTTTTTTTTAAGTGTAAAGACTTAACCTTTGCTAGGAAATGGTTGCGGTATTTTCTTTAAATGAAAAGAGACCATTGTGAGTGAAACTTTGGAAAACACACGACATCCTGGTGCTGTTCTCCAGGGCGGTCGCAGGCAGTGCTTGTCCGGCTGGCTCTGGCCTTTCCTCCAGATGGTCCCTCCTTGTGCTGTTTGAAGGGGCTGGACAAGGGGACTGGTCCTGGAAAGGCCACTTAGATGCTGAGCCCTCTCCCAGTAGGGGACCTTGGGCAGAAGGGGCTTCTTGTTGCCTGCAGTGGCCTCCACTCAGGACCAGCCCCATAATTTGTGGGATCCCTGGTTCAAAAACTGTTAAGAATTTCAAGAAGGCAACAGTGGAGCATTAAAGCAAGAGTGGGGCCCTTCCGAGCACAGACCCTTCCAAGTGAGGGACCAGGTGTGACTACATAGGTCACAGATAGTATGTGATTCTGGCAGATAAGATCACTGTCATTCTGCAGGCCAACTTAAGTTCTTGAAACTTCTCTTAGATGATGCCTCCAGGTCTAGACACAGACCCCAGATGATCCACCGCAGGACTCAAGGCTTCCTTCTGGGGTCCTACCCCCATTCTTGGCTCCCACACACCACAGCTGGCAACAATTTCCCAACCTGGCTCTTTGCTCAGATTTCTTTCTTGTCGCATTTCACAGACAGTGCTCCTCGGTCGTGAAAACATTCTGGTTTAATCTGTGCTTGCTTGTAACCCAGGGGTCTGGGGTAATCAGGGAACACAGAACAGCTGCATTGAGTGCTGGGCTCCTTGATGTTCCTTGAGCTGTTTATAAGCCTCCTTATAGGGCCTACTGTAAATAGGAAAGTATAAACACATGCTAACTTTGCAGCAAATTAAAACCATCCGCAGCTTTTCCTGAGTCTTAACACATAGTGGTTTGTGTTTACGCAGCATTTATTACCTTGTATGCTACTTACAGACTTGTGTAGTTCTCTGGTAAGCCAGGCCCAAGTATTTGTGCCCTCCAGGGTCTGGGAGGCCCACCATAACCTAAGCCTTGTTCCCAGGGTCAGCCTGACCTCATAAGCCCAGACCGTCTCCAATACAGTGGCCACTAGCCACTTGTGGCTCTTGACCGCTTGAAATCTGGCTAGCCTGAATTGTGTTGTTCGTGCAGGATACATACCAGATTTTGAAGGCTTAGTATGAAAAAAAGAATGTAAGAGATCTCATTAATAATTTTTCACATTGGTTATGTGTCAAAATGATAATATTACTTATATAATGGATAAAAATAAAATATATTATTAAAGTTAATTTCATGTTCTTTTTCCTTTTTTTAATGTAGCTACTAGAAGATTTAAAATGATGTACAAAGGCATTTGTGGCCTGTGTCATATTTCTATCCGACAGCACGGCTCTAAAGCATCTCCTTGTGGTATTTGCATGTCCAAGTCTATGTGAATTTCACACACACACACACACACACACACGCACACACACATCCCTGGGTGACTGACAGAACCTTAGAAGGAAAACCAGGCCCAGTAAGATCATGTGACTCAACCCCAAATGCCACCTTCTCCAGGAAGACTCCTTGGAATGTCCCAAGGCCGCCTGACATTACCAACCCAGGGGCCTTTGTTTGGCCACTGATGATCTGTCTGCCTTGTGTCTTCATCCAACACGCATTTCTGGAACACCTAGTTGTGAGGCGATGTAGCATAGTGACATGAGAGTGCAGCCTCCAGAATCTATACAATCTGGATTCTAGGCCTGGACCTACCACTTAGGAGCTAGTGCCCTTGAATGAGTGACTTCCCACTTCGTGCCTTAGTCTTCCCATCTGTAAAATGGAAATTACAACACCCAAGTACAGAAAGGATGGTGATCCGGGTGTTTACCTCACAGGCTCGTTGTGAGGATGGATTAGAATGAGGCACAGAAAGCTCTTAGCACAGAAGCATTAGCTCCACCGCGAGCCTGCTGCAGACAGCCATGGGCATGATCTGGCCCCCGGACTTTCACAGGGCTCAGCAACCTCTGAGGAAAGGAGGGGCAGGACCAAGGTACCAGGTAAGTATGGGAAGTGTGATCCTGGGGAAAATCAAAGGCAAGTGGAGAGACCTCGTACTAGCCAGGACATAGTGCCAAAGGTTGGGATCCAGAAAGGTGTCCCGTCAGGATGCCAGACTGGAGGTCCTCGCTGGAGGGTGGCTGGGGAGCTAGGAGATGAGTGGGGAGTGGATAATTCTGCTCTCAGCTGTTGGAATGCAAAGCATCTCCCCAACTGGGGCCCAGCTACTGGGCAAGGCTGAGGGGTAGGCCTGGATCATGTTCCAAGTCCTCACTTGGGGCTAGATAGGCAGATCTGGGGTGTTGAAGCCATTTTTTCCTTGTAGTCTTGCTCCTATAAGGCAACTGAATTAGGGCAATGCTTGTTGCTAAAACAAATAAATCCCAAAATGTCAGTGGCTGAATGCAGTAGACTTTAATTCTCACTCACAACAGTCTGGGATGGGTGTTCCTGGCCAGCAGGAAACCTTCCATGAGGTGATTCAGGGATCCAGGCTCCTTGCATCTGATGGCTCTCCCTTCCCTTGTGGCCTCAGCACCCTCTGCATCAGCAGGAAGACAGGGAAGAACGGGTGAAGACACAGACTTGTTTAACCACCTTGGCCTGGATGTGACCACCATCACTCTTGCTCACATTCCAGCCATGAGAATGAGTCATGTGGCCCCACCCAGAGGCAAGAGTGGCCGGGAAATGACAACTTGACATGATGGAAGGGAGAGCACTAATTTCTGGTGGCTGTCTCTGCCAGTCCCCACTCTGTGCAGAGAGCTGACCCAGCGGCCTGGCCTCCTTTCTCCCCTCCAGGCCCCCAACTCTTCCCTATGCCACCTGCCAGATTCTAAGAGGGCTCCCAAAGAGGAACAGAGGGAAAGAACATGGACACCGTCTAGGGAATGACACAGGTGGATGCCCTCGAAGAGATGGTGCACACACCATGGGCATGCACGTCAGCAGCCCTGCCGGCTTCCAAAGGCCTCCTCAGATCCCTCAAACCACACACAGGCTCTGGCCTCCTAGAGACACAGAGCTCAGTGAACCAAGGCAGGCCTGCAAGTTTGGGTCTGAGGAGCATGTGGGCAGATGGACGCAGGGCCAGCAAAGGTTTCCTAGAGCACCTCCTGGCCTGGCCAAAGGCAGC